CGGTCTCCTAATCGATCGTGTCATTAATACGGGCGTAAGAAACGATAAATCGTCATTTTTGCAAACGTTCCGGGATTTCTCCTTCGTGTGAGAGTAAGAGAACGCGAAGGAGGAAAACGAAAGCATAGTTTTACGAGCAAAGAAACGCCTCGGCTTCGCCGTCGTCGCCTCTTCCGTACTCGCGCCTACTTAATTAAGCTCTCGATCGCCACCAGAACGTAGGACAAACCGGCAGATACGATCCGCATGCTGGCCTCACTGAGAGAGAAAAAGGTGAACCCGTGGACAGCTTCCTCCTGGGTTGCTCGCGTGCGTGCTTTATCCCTGGCGATAATTATCCGTGCTCGGGAGGGAAGAAAAAGAGCGGAAGGAGGAGAAACACGTGTCGTGAAAGGAGTCCCGTGCGTGTACGCCGTTACGTATGGTCGTTACCGCGAGTAACTTTTAAGCCCGATGTTCCCCGGCTACCCGTTGCGGTCGGCCCCGGCCGGCAGAATGGCTCGTTACTTATTTTACGAACGAACGTTATTACCAGTTCCCGTTTAAAAGCCCGCCGCGTGCATATATCTCGAGCGCGAAGCAATTTGCAAAGTACTTTCCCCGGATCGGCTTTCCGGGTTCGAGCTTTTCCGTCCATCGATGGAGGAGAAGGTGGAAGGAAACGAGAGAAACGCCTGGTCGGTGTACATCAGGTTTCGCGTAGTTTATGGCCGTCCGGTTCGACGGTAATTAAGGAAGAATTCGACAGATGGCGCGGACGAAGGTGCGCGGCTAGTGAACGCAACAGGAAATCGCGGTCTCCTACGGTCGCGACTCCTGTCTCCGGTGTCCGCTTACATAATTCTATATACTTATAAAATTATATATCTCGCGCTATCACGCGCCTCTTACGCAACGCGTCGAGTTACACGGCCACGTTGCGTAACGAGCTCCTCCGCGATGGACTCGTTTACGCGGATAGGTTGTTTCTGGGCTGAGTAATCGTAACGGGGCGACTCCAGCGCCAAATCTCGGCCCGCGAGAGGTCGCGGCACGCGGGACACGCCGAAGCAGGGCGCATGCGCAATGCTCGCGGAAGTGACTCGCTAGCGAAAGATCCGGGACAGCTGATTTTTCCTTCGCCACTTGTTCTCACGCCGAACTATCGCGTTGCTCGAAATTGACAGAGCTGCGATTCGTGTCACCGTCGACATTTCGAGATTGCTTCTTCCCGTCGATCAATTTTTCGAATTTCGACGGGTTCCAAGGTCGCATTCGCTTGGCAAGGATCGCGCGAATTAATGGCAGGCGTACATGCGGGCCTCGTACTCGTTTCGAAGTTCCTCCGTCATTTTTGTACCGAACTAATCGCGTTTCACTTGACACACTTCGCCGCGAGTTGGAATTATTGCCAGCATTGAATCAAGGCGACTAATTTTCTTTCAGTATATACGAGTATAAGACGCGTTTATAAGGAGGAAAGAGGGGATAATATATTTGGGAGATGTTTGCGGATCCGGGGTCTCTCGTTGACAAAATTATGACGAGTTGGCCGGTGATCTGACCGCGACAACGTCGTGCTGACACGTGATTAGAATCGAGACGCAAATTTTACTTTCGTCCTTCGCTCGGACCACCTCCTTACGACTAAAACTTTCTTTTCCGCCGGCAGCCACGCGCGTTCCTAACCTAGAACGGGGCAGAAATCTGGCGCGAAGCGCTCGCGTAAGCTTCTATTCGGAAGATTCGTATTTCTACGCAAACAAATTTCTCTTTTATTTTCATATCTCGCTCTCCCCGTGCAAAGCTTCGCGAAAAACGATTCGGCTCGTTGCACTCGTTTCATTCCATCTTATAACGAGTACAAAAAGCACGAGAGTGGACTCCGATAAAAATACGGGCCTGAATCGCGAGAGATTAGAATTTTCTGGCTAATTATAATAAAGTCACGATTGATTTGCTCGAGGGCTTCTCGATCGATTAATCGAAGAAAGCGATTCGAGGCACAGCTTATTTAACCGTGTTTCGCGTCGCTCTCGTTGCGCCTGCGCGTTCTAAAACACGCGTATATCCGTGCCGTAAATCCGGCACGCGATGACGATGTGCTGACAGTCGAGGCATGACAATATCAGCCCAGATCCGATCGAAATGAACAAATTTGACATAGATACCGAGCTATAATAACGTCGATCAATGTCTCGAAAGAAGTCGGACCTGCCTGTAGCCGATAGCAATTAGCGATAAGTCATCGGTGATACCGATTGACGCCGGTTTCGCTTCAACGAGTACGAAATAACTGCAGTGGCACCGATTGTCATCGCTTTCGAATCGTGAGAAAGAAATGACGGAAAAATTGCACGGTAGTCGAGGAACCAGCTCGAATAACGCCTAGATTGACAACTGTCTGGCAAAATAACCGACTCTTCGAATACATCGAATAAAATCAAGAACGCGCAAAAAGATATTATATTATATCTGAATGTAAATTTAGATATTTTCAGATACCTTTATAAGTGGAATTGTTAATGGCTATCTTTCGACAATAAGACTTTCAGTTTAGGTTCCAAGCGATTGCGCAGGAGTCAAGGACCTGTCAACTAAGACCTAGATTGACACGGTCTGTAAAAGCAGCAGAACCTGTATTACCTTAACGCTATGAAGAATAGAGATAGCGCATAAAGTGAATCCATTGACTAAATTTTCTAACGAAATTCGCAAATTTTAACTCAAATTTCTCATTTATGAGACACCGATATTCCAAGCATACCCACCATATTAACACTAGGTTTACGGACGCTATCTATATACCTATTTCTAAGGACACCTGTCAAATTGACAGGTAAAGGAAACCACGTGCCATTTTCTTTTAACGATTAATTGAATTTAAAAACAATTATATATTATATTAACAGTCTTAATATAAGTTAACTAAATCTGTTGCCATCGTATAATTGGAGTAACCCTCCCGTCAAATTGACGGGTTCCGTAAATCTAGTGTTAAAATAGACATTCAGTTCTAGCCCCAAGCTCTTCTTTAGCGCGGATGGAATAGCTGTTAGATCATTCGTCTAAAAGATATTACGAGATCTTTTCTCTGCTCTAACAAAGCCTCCTCTTTCACATGCTCGAACCGGCAACACATGTTACACTTTCCTTCCGATTACGATGACTTTCGCACGAAACGCTGCTTACGTAATTCCGTAAGCCTGATCCTTGGACGCAAAGAGTGCGTCGCTCGTCATCCGCCTGGATCGGCTCGCTTTCCGTGCGCACGCGTCCTCGCGGAAAAGCCGCTGGGAAAGGATCGGAAGCGTTCTCCGAAGCGGAACGCTCGTTGAGATTCTACTCGGCGAACTCGTCGACCGACGTATCCGGTCTGCATCGAGTGCCACGCGCATCCGTGATTCGTCTATCGATGGATTGCAATCCTTATTCGCGGCGACGATAAGCCAATGATCGATTAATCAGTCGCACGCCTCGCGATTAATCAACGCGGATGCGTCGGCGAGGATTTCGCAAGCAGGCGCCCGAACAATGGATCACTTTTACTCTCGGCGTGCTCGGCAAAGAGCACTTTGTTCCGTTCGCGGAATCGCGATAGGTTCGACAGACCTCGCGCCAATCCCATGCGCCATTGCAAACGCGGGGATAAATCGTGTCGGATAAAAGGGAATAAGGGAATAACCAGGGATATCGACGTCTCGTTATTAGCGGGATGCAAATGGTACCGGGGACTTTGTTGGCAGGCTGGGCGTATAATTGCTTGTCAATTACGCGGGCAAACGTAAATATCGCAACGAAGCGTATTAGATATGGGCGAAGAATTTCCATTCTATAAGCTCGCGCGTTTATTTATGCCGCGTCCGTTCGCACAAGCGTTCCAGCGCGATTCTGTCAATGCTCGAAATCGATCACGACACGGTAATTACGCTTATGAATATATGTATGCAGATAATTCCTATCGAATATTAATAGGATAACTAGTAACGAACCCCGTGGCTGAACATAAACGTCGTATTCTAGCGAATTGCCTCGTATTTCAAGCTTATTGCCATTTGACGACCCGTTCGCCGGAGTTATTGAAATAAATGCCTCCATGGGTCGCGGAAAGAAACCGAGAGCTGAAAGAGCAATCATGCGTAATTTTATCTCCGTTAATTGCTCTCGTGCGTGCACCTAAACCGGCAAACGAGGCACGCTGATAATCTCGGTGGATAGAACGGAATCGGTTTTGACAGGATCCAAGGTCCACGAATGGTCCATTTTGCCATTGAACATCGAAGTGCATCATCAGGTTGAATCGAATAGGTATCGCCTGTAAGGGGACGATTCGGTGTCCATACGAATGAAGCTCGTCGATTCTCGAACGATTCCGCTTGTGACTTGACTGAAAATTCAAATATAACCTTGTAATAGCCAAGCGTCGAGTCGTGCGATCAAAGCGAACAGACGGCCGACTATTTACGTTCCAACGTCGGCGAGGGGTTCCCATGTGCGTTTTCTGCGTCTCGTTGCTCTATTTTCGACCGTTTATTTTCGATAGCTGAGCAATAACGCGAAATTCGGGTGTGGTGCCGGGTCGAATATAAATGACGGCGACCGGATATTTGTCTTGCGAGACGATGGATTATCCCTGCGAAAATAAGCGCGCTGTATGGCGTTGGTAAAAATACAGATAAGGGAAACGAGTCTACGAGACGAGGAATTTAGGTCGTCGCGCACGATTACGTGGGAATTTCTAAATTCCACACGACGCAATCAATAACGTTCATCACTCCCGGTGTCGTAATCGGACAGAGTGCGAAGTACGCAGCGCCATCTCTTCGACCAGCGTCGACGGGGCGATTACTCCCCTCGCCATTGATTCCAACTCTTCGCGAACTCATATCCCCGCGATTAGTTCAACGACTAGAATTTCCTATCGACGATCCGATAGATTATTTCCCATCGATAAGTAGCTCCCATCGTGATCCAATTTCGTCACGATCTTCTAACATTTCCATCCAATTTTCTCGTTGCAGGAGCCAATCGAAGGCCTCTTACCTGGCCTATCGACGGGAACGAGGGGCGCCCGATACCGAGGGCAGTTACAAGAGAACCATGTCACCGACATCTCGCCTAGAGGACTGGCCACCGCCACGGGATCACGATGATCCGGTTCTTCTTCGCGTCACGCCTCATCATCCGTTGCAGCACCATCACCATCACCATCACAACAATCACCATCCGCAACAGTCGGAGCTTTCCAAGTCGCACAGCGTGGACACAGCAGCAGCAACACTCGGCAGAGGTGATCGGAAAGTTGTCGCACGATTTGAGCAAGAAACTGCAGGCAAGCGAGGCGAGATCGCGAACCAGCGAGAATAATAATAACGATAACCTGGAGGATCGACATCAGCATCACCACCATCATCATCATCATCAAGAGAAGAGGCAGCAGGAGAAAAGGCACGATTATGAGCAGCGTAGGGAACGGCTGTCGCCCCAGAGCGTCGAGGTTCTTAACGACAGGAACCGACAGCTGGAACGCGAACGCAGGAAGCTGGCGGCCAGTTGCGAGCCCCTACCTCAGAACAGAGAGGTAATATTTCTTTTCGGACGTTTAGCGCGCACGATGCATCCTTGGTGGAATGGGTTACAGTTGAGCCTATCAGTACGGGCATTATTGATATACTGGTTCTTAGACACGCTAGTGTAAAGAGTACATTAGAGGAGATCGCGTTTGTCGTATTTATCTAGTTTTAATACTCGCTGTTAGGATGTCTAAACATATCACCCGTGATGCATCGACACGCAGCATGTCGACATTCGAGCTACACGCGTGTTCATGTCCGTCGTAATCTTCGACGAATCCTTTTAACGAGAGATCGATTTATCGCTATTAGAAGCAGAGTCGAAGCATGGACGCGCCCTCATCGGTGGTCGAGGAGGACTTCTTCCGCGAACGAAGCGCCACCATCGAAATGACCTCGCAGAACATCGAGCTGCTGAAC